ACTGGGGGGACTGGAGTGGACGGGTGGTGGGCTCCCAGTGGGACTGGAGGGGGCTGGTGGGCTCCCAGTAGGGCTGGGGGTGCAGCCCACCCACCCACGGGTACTGGGAGGGACTGGAGGGGGCTGGTGGTGGGCTCCCAGTGGAGCTGGTGGGCTCCCAGTGGGGCTGGGGCAAAGCCCACCTACCCACCCACTGGTACTGGAGGGACTGGACCATACTGGTGGTGGGGTCCCAGTGGAGCTGGTGGGCTTCCAGTGGGGCTGGGGGTGCAGCCCACCCACCCACTGGTAATGGGGGGGCTGGACCATACTGGTGGTGGGGTCCCAGTGGGGCTGGAGGGAGCTGGTGGGCTTCCAGTGGGGCTGGGGGTGCAGCCCACCCACCCACTGGTACTGGGAGGGCTGGAGTGGGCTGGTGGTGGGCTCCCAGTGGAGCTGGTGGGCTCCCAGTGGGGCTGGGGCAGAGCCCACCTACCCACCCACTGGTACTGGAGGGACTGGACCATACTGGTGGTGGGGTCCCAGTGGAGCTGGTGGGCTTCCAGTGGGGCTGGGGGTGCAGCCCACCCACCCACTGGTAATGGGGGGGCTGGACCATACTGGTGGTGGGGTCCCAGTGGGGCTGGAGGGAGCTGGTGGGCTCCCAGTGGGGCTGGGGGTGCAGCCCACCCACCCACTGGTACTGGGAGGGCTGGAGTGGGCTGGTGGTGGGCTCCCAGTGGAGCTGGTGGGCTCCCAGTGGGGCTGGGGCAGAGCCCACCCACCCACTGGTACTGGGGGGGTTGGACCATACTGGTGGTGGGCTTCCAGTGGGGCTGGAGGGGGCTGGTGGGCTCCCAGTGGGGCTGGGGGACATAGCCCACCCACCCACTGATAATGGAGGGGCTGGACCATACTGGTGGTGGGCTTCCAGTGGGGCTGGGGCAGAGCCCACCCACCCACTGGTACTGGGGGGGACTGGAGGTGGGGTCCCAGTGGGGCTGGACCATACTGGTGGTGGGCTTCCAGTGGGGCTGGGGTAGAGCCCACCCACCCATTGGTACTGGGAGGGCTGGAGGGGACTGGTGGTGGGGTCCCAGTGGGGCTGGAGGGAGCTGGTGGGCTCCCAGTGGGGCTGGTCTAGGCTGGTGGTGGGCTCCCAGTAGGGCCGGACCATACTGGTGGTGGTCCCCCAGCACACACCAGGCCTAGGACCCCAGCCCTACTGACACCGGGGGGGAGAGGGGGGGGCATCCCATGGGGGCTGTTTTTTTGCATGTCCCAGAGGGAAATCCACCCCCTGCAGGGGGGGAAAAAGGGGCTGGGGGGTGGGGGGGACACCCCCACGTCCCACCTTGAGGGCCTGGTTGAAGTTCTCCACCATGGTGATCCACTGCCCCGTCTGCTTGGCGAACTGCGCGGCCTGCACCTGCAGCGTCTTCACCTCCTGGTCCAGCTTCCGCTGGTTGACGTAGGCCTGAGCCACCCTGGGGTTTGGGGGGGACACACATCGAGGGGGGGACACACAC